CAAAAACGATCCGGACCTTGGTGGTGTCTTTGTTCATCCGAACTACCGGAAAGTGAGGCAAATACCAGCTGGATGTGTCGGCTGGATCATACGGTATTTCCTTAATGTAGCCTTTCTCAGCGTACGCCTTGATTGTGCCGTTGTACGCTGCCGCTACTGTCTCATTCTTCGCCAGTCGGCTCTCCGTGTTACGCAGCCGCTGCGCTGCCATGCCGAAATTGTTGCTGAGCTCTGAGACTTTCTCCGTCCAGGGGATAGCTACCTGGTACCGTCCTGCCGATTGCGTTAGTGACGATGTTGCTGTCTGCAGAGCTGCTGCGTCACTGACAGATAGTGCGATTGCTGGATCTTGGTGGGTACCACTCACTTCCACCTCCCAGAAACGCTGCATCGTGCGGTTGAGCTCTGCGGTTACATCTGACTGGTCTCGTACCCCTGCCGCATAGCTGTACTGGAACAATGACGATCTAGCCATTGTCGACGTCGTGGGCCCGACACATGTCCACCCTAACACTGTCAGACGCGCCACAGGTTCTCCAGGAGCACCACGTATCTCCTCCAGCGCACAATGGATGTCTGGTTGGTCAATGCCGATGAGCATATCTACCTCTCTACGCTTCGGCAAGCTGGCAAATGTCACTTCCTTGAGATGTGGCCAATGCCGCTGCTCTGTTGACCAATTCACTGCGTGCATGTCGTCAGTGATTTGCTGTAGCGTATTCGCCTGGATCTTGCGCTCCCAGCTGCCATCTACGCTGCTGAGCTGCACGTCGACGTCCTGGGTGTCGTACGTTGAGCGCTGTCCGTTTAGTACTCCGACTGATATCTTGGAGCTTGGTCCACTTAGCTGAAGTTCTGCTGCTACTCGGGCGCTGACATACGTCTGCGTGCTGCCGTCGTCCAGTAGGGCATTGATACGCACACGTCTGTTGCCATTGCCGATCATGACTGGTACGGTTCGCAAAGCCAAATTCCCAGCGCCACTGGCTTTCATGGTCGTTGCTGCTGCTTGAGACTCCTGCGCCTCCCCCTCAGTGGCGAGGTACACACCTTGCTTTTTTGTGCTTGGTCTGTCCTTGGGCGGATCTCTGTTCTTGATCTGCTGCTGCCCATGCAGGAGCCTATGGTGCGTGGAGTCGCAACCATCAACGCCGCAAACTCTCGTCCGTTCACAGTCGTTGCCACGGTGACCACTCGCCAGACACCGATAACACAGACGCGCTGCTTTGGCCTTGACCCAGCGCTCTACAACAGTCATTCCTTTGAACTGGTCGCACTGCCACACGCCATGGACATCGCCGCACACTTCACACGACTTTCCGCTACGAGCCACAAAAGATCTGTTGTGTGGGTGAGACCCTGGCCTGACTTGCCGGTTGGCAGGCGCGTGTGCTGACGCTGCTGGCTGGGATATGCTGATCCCGTCTGCCGTTTCTGCTGCCACAGTCAGGAACTCTGCCTCTTGTTCCAGCCACACTGCTAACATGGTGACTGTTTCTGGCTGCTGTTGCACGAATAGCCAACGCTGATACTGCGCGATCAGCTTCTCATCCAGCTTTCGCAGCAGCTGGTTATACAGAGTTCCCGGACCCAGCTCATGGGAACGCCCCGCATCCGTCAAGTTTACTATTGCGATCTCCAGCAGCTCAGAATACCGCACCAGTTCGCGCTGGCGACCACTGCGGACGGTGGGCATTCTCTCAATGTCCTCCAGCTGCAGAGCAATTTGTCTTCGACTGCCGCCATACTTGCGCTCAAGCTTCGCCTTTGCCGTTGCATAAGCTGCTGGCGAGTACCCGAGGGCACTGATCGTCTCCAGCGGCTCGCCCTTCAGGTAAGTACGCAACTGCAGCAGCTTGTACGCATCGTTGGCTGGCGAGACATCTACGCATGCGTTGAAGGCAGCTCGCCACTGCTCGTACTCTTTGCGGTTTCCGGTGAAAACTGGAATGCCGACTCGTGGCATCTGCCGCCATGGCTCTACCATTCCACCTGGTGGAAAGTTTGCGTACGGTGCAGGTGCTGTGAACGCTGCTGGTGCTGCGAATGGTGCTGGTGCTGCTACCGGTGCTGGTGCCACTACACTCGGTGCTGACACTGCTGGCGGAAGGCTAGTACTGGTCACTGGTGCTCTTACAGGCTGACTGGTGGCTCTGCCTCCGCCACTGGCTGTCAGTGGTCCAGCCTGACCCGAGTTTACAACCGAGGTTATGCCCCTCGAAGCTGTTACAACAGCCGGCACAGACCTCAACGACATACTATTACTAAAGGCGGCAGCAGGCACAGAACTAGCCGACGTACTGGTGGGAGCCGCAGCAGGCACAGAACTAGCCGCCGTACTGATGGGAGCCGCAGCAGGCACAGAACTAGCCGCCGTACTGATGGGAGCCGCAGCACTGCCAGCAGGCACAGAACTATTACTTGCCAAGGTACTCGTACTACTGCTACTACTAGTACTGCTGCTACTCGGAGCGCGAGCGGCAGTCCCCGAGCTGGCAGCAGTCCCTGAGCTGGCAGCAGTCCCCGAGCTGGCAGCAGTCACACTCAAGGAACTCGGTGCCGACGACCCAGATAGACTACTCGGTAAGAGTCCTGACTCCAGACCGACAGGTCCCTGGTGCGGTTCTCGCTTCGGCACAGTATGCATAAATTTCTCTTTTTTTTCTTTTTCTGGTGCCTGTTCACTTTTTTCCTCCTTATCAGCCTCGCTCTCAGCAACGATCTCCGATCTTTGCAGCAGATCCCGCACTTCCTTAATTCTCTGGGCTCTCTCCTTGCCCGCTGGAGATCTCCCTCCACGACTGGGCCGCGCAGAGCATATCTCGGCGAGCACTTCGCTGGCCTGCTCTAACACGTTATCGTACTTGCTTTGGAGCTCGTCCAGCTCATCGTATATTGCCTCAGTAGGGCGACCTGCCGCTCTCATCAGCTTGCACAGCTCAAGCATCACCCGCACTGCCTCCTCTGCCGCATTGTTCAGTGCATCTATCCCAGCGTTCAGGTCTCTGGCGTCTATGGGCGTGGTCTCACTGTGCAGCTTTGTCAGTATTCCACGTTTGATATTCGTGAAATTGGACTTCACTCGAATCTTTGCCGATCGTAGTTCGTCCATGGTACAACTAAATTTGATACATACACTACAACTAAACTAAACTGAACCTCTAACCATCCTCTGCTACCAGATAATGTACGCGTGGAGGCGCTTTCCACCGCACATCAGAAACCGAAACGACAACTTGCTCGTCTTCTCAAGAACTCTCAACCACGAAGACACTGGCGCACGCAAAGCTACGTGGCACACAGCGCTCCAAAGAAGAAATGCGTAGATCACGTGCATGCATATGAGAAAAACAATGATGTCACGCTGCCATGACGATACACAAGCTGTACTGGCACGCAGTGGACAAAAATAATGGAAAATCAAGAAAAGTCAGAAAATAATACAAACAGTGAAATTCGAAAGTAGAAGTCAAAGGAAGTTCAAAGAACAAGGAAAACGAAGATCTGTGCTGATAGGAACTCAACGCAATTTCAACCATGTCCTGTCAGAGAGTGTTAGCACCCACAGGGTGAAGGCAAGCCTTGTCAGAGCAAAACCTACACTTGGACGGACCAGAGCTGCAGAACGGACTTTCTGAAGGAATGCAAAGATAAGTAACAATTCAAATTCGAGATAATCAACTTAGAAACAACACCAGCTGTTTTGTAACCTGTAAACTGCTTGTAACAATCAGCGATGTACTAGTAACTAACTCCTAGTAAACGCTTTGACTGTGCTCTCGGAAGAACGAAGGATTAACAAAATATAGAATAAACACAGTAGATAAATAATAGTGACACTCGTAAATTCTACAATATCTGGAGTCTTCTGCACAGTACATGAAGAACACACAGATCGCACAGGGAATACACAAGAGAACAGAGCGCACACAGATCGCACAGAGAACGCACAGAAAACACACAGAACGCACACCACTGCATACTGTCTTCAGAACACGGCGTCTCTTTTCTCGGTGATCTGATGGATTAACCGAGATAGCTGCTGTGTGGTGCCATCGTTTGGCCTTGTTGTTACTTGTACTACTGTTGCTACTATTGCTGTTGCTGTTGTTATTGCTGCTGTTTCTGGTCCTGCTGCTGCTGCTGTTGCCGCTCCTGTTGCTGTTGTTGTTGTTGTTGTTGTTGTTGTTGTTGTTGTTGTTGTTGTTGTTGTTGTTGTTGTTGTTGTTGTTGTTGTTGTTGTTGTTGTTGCTGTTGCTGCTGTTGTTGTTGTTGCTGCTGCTGTTGCTGCTGCTGTTGCTGCTGCTGTTGCTGGTGTTGTCGCTGCTGCTGTTGCTGCTGCTGTTGCTGCTACTGCTGCAGTTGCTGCTGCTGTTGCTGCTGCTGTCGCTGCTGCTACTGCTACTGTTACCAGTGCTGTTGTTTCTGCTGCTGCTGCTGCCGCCGCTATTGTTGTTATTGCTGCTGTTTCTGCTGTTTACAACGCTGCTGTTGGTACTGCTGTTGTTGCTGCTTTTGCTGCTGCTGCTGCTGCTACTTTTGGGGCTGCTGGTGCTTGTGCTGTTGTTGTTGCTGTTGTTGCTACTGCTGTTGTGGCTGCTGCTGTTATTGCTGCTGCTGCTGCTGCTGCTACTGTTGTTGTTGTTGTTGCTGCTGTTGTTGTTTTTGTTGTTGCTGCTGTTGTTGCTGCTGCTATTGCTGTTGCGGTTGTTGTTGTTCTTGCTTTTTCTGTTGCTGTTGTCGCTGTTGCTGCTGCTTTTGCTGTTGCTGTTGTTGCTGCTGGTGGTGCTATTAGTCTTGCGGCCGTCGTTGGAGCTACTGCTACTGCTGCTGTTACTTTCTTTGCCGCTGCCGCTGCTATTTTTGCTGCTATTGTTTCTACTGTTGGTGCTATTAGTCTTGCTGTTGTTGCAGCTATTTGAATTCTTTATTCTCACGATGGTACCATCGTCAAAAAGCAATTGTTGCTGCTGTTGTTGCTGCTATTATTCTCGTTGCAGCTAATGTTGCTGTAGTTGGTGATTCAGAGGAGGTGATCTTTCGGTGGCATTCAGCAGCATTCGTCTGCCGGGGAAAATCACAGGATTGGAGGGCAAAGATGATGGTAGTTGTGCGCCGAACGCTCTAATGCAAGTATATCTGCCAGAAGACTGTAGTGAAGTGAGTAAGTAGACTTTCTATTGTTAATAATCTGCTATTTGTTACTACTGGTAACTGTACAATATTCACCACACATTATTGTTTGCTATTTTCACGACAAGAGAGTAAGGGCCAGGTTCCACTGCGGCTCCGCTGCTCTGCTGCTCATCATCCGTCATCATTACCATAGTGACCGTGGCTTGAGCTGGAGCAGAAAGGCCGCGGCTCACAGCGACCTTTCGCTACGATTCTTGATCATAAATTGCGAGCCGCGGTCGCGGCTCGACCTGTTTCCCGTACGTTGCATTGTTTTGTACACAAGAATTGTAAAATTCAAAAATTTTTCGTTGCGCAGGCCAGAAAACGAGGTTTTTTGATTTCACGCATGCGCGCAGGCAGGTGAAACATCGTCAATAACCGTGGAGCAAAATAACCGTGGAGCTCGTCATTCACGAATGACGAGTGTCAGTGGAACCGCGCTGCTCCCCTGCATGCAGCCAAGTGCCGCGGAGCAGCCGAGCTGCGGAGCCGCAGTGGAACCCAAACTTAATGTGAATATTGATTAACCAGAGCGAAGTCAAATTTGAACAGTGAGTTTATGAAAGTGGCCACAGTCCTTTGCGAACATTTTCCATTGTAAACTCCCTGGTTCTAAGAAATGTCGAAAATTTAGTGACGCGAATATCGGTGTGTTTACAGAATTCTAATTTTACCATACTAACAAGTCAGACATGTATTATGTGTTTATAGTACTGTAGGGTCATGAAATTTGTACCGGCTAGGATTTCACAACACACACCGTAATGGTACATACCGTAAAATCCCGCCAGAGAGCCCCGTCGCTTCCATGCGCCCCTCCCCGACATTTTGTCAGGAAAGTGATTGATTGTATCCTCGTATAACTCCATGATGCCGTACTGTACTGCAGACGAGTTCTCGACCCGGTCATTTGTCCTACTAGTGATGGTGCTGCTGCTGGTGATGATGATGGTGATGGTCCCGCAACTGTTGCTACTGCTGCTACTATTGCTGGCATTGCTGCTACTGTTGCTGGTGCTGGTGATGGTCCAGCAACTGTTCCTACTGCTGCTGGTATTGCTGCTACTGTTGCTGCTGGTATTGCTGCTGCTGGTGCTGCTTGTCCTGTTGTTACTGCTGCTGGTGCTGCTATTTATGCAACTGCATGTTGCTGCTTTTTGTTTCTTTTTTTTCTTTCTGAATTTTCCCATTGCACTGCTACAGATATGGTTGTGTTATCGTATCAACAGCAGAGCGGTCGTCCTGTTATTTCTGTAGCTGTGTAGCAGATGGATGTGACTACTACAAGGTATGTCAAAGAGTATCATCAACTGTACTTATACAGCTTCTTATAAAATGTATACGATTGGGCAATCGCTGAAGTATTATTAAACCATTGATATTGCTACTGGTGGTGCTATTTCTCCTGACTCCATTCTCTTTCTGTGCTGTGCTTCTGTGCTACTGTTGCTGCTCCTCTGTGTGTGTGTGTGTGTGTGTGTGTGTGTGTGTGTGTGTGTGTGTGTGTGTGTTTGCCCTGCCAGTCACAAGTGTGTGGCTCCGTCCCCAGCCGCAGTGGAGGCGTGTTGTGGCGCGCACTGTGCGTCCTGCGGCTGCTGATTCCGTTCGGTCCAGGGAGAAATAGACACCGCTGCTCAAGTTCTCCTCCGGCCATACATTAGTCTCGGGGCAACAGTCGTAGGTGACCTGAATCCTGACGACCTCTCGTTGTGTCCGGGACGCCGTAGGACGGCGTTCTCCTCTTCTCTCTCCGTTGCCCCTCCGGGCCCACGTGACCCTTGTGGCAGTGGCTCGACAGGACAGGACAGGACAGGACAGGTGTGTGTGTTTTGTGTGTTGCTGTTTCTTTTGTTGCTGTTGCTGCTTTGTTGTTGCTGTTCCTGTTGTTGCTGCTATTTCTGCCTCCTACCTCTGCTGCTGCTGCTGCTGCTGTTTCCAAGGCTGCTATTGATGTTGCTTCAGGCAGTCACTTATTTTTCTGTGTGTGTGTGTGTGTATTCATGTGCTGTCATAATGTCTATTGCGGATAGCGTTGCCAGTGTCTCTACGGTTACTGCTGCTTCCTCCATGGTCAGATGTGCTGAACAGTGATCCGTTACGTGTGTGTCAGCGAGTACTCAGATGATGGGCAGAAATCTGGATGGCAGAGCTGCGTCTTAGTGAGGTACAGGTTGTGTCTAAGGATTTCTTTTTGTCAGTTACTTTCCCTTGCCCGTCTCCTGTTTCCATATATGGGTGGGTTTAAACTAGCATACCACGGATCTGGTTTGAAAATAATCCCCGGTCACATGACCACACTGTGGTAGTTTTGGTGAGAACTTGAAGACGACTGGCCATGTACTGTCATTTCTGAATATGACGTTTACTGCTGGTGATACTACTACTGCAAGTGTTTCTATACTGGTGATAGTGCTACTGTAGCTATTGATGTGCTGGAAACTAATGTAGCTGCTGTGCTGGCAAGACCTCTACTGTTGCTGTGCTGGCAAGACCTGTACTGTTGCTGTGATGGCAAGACCTGTACTGTTGCTGTACTGGCAAGACCTGTACTGTTGCTATGCTGTTGGTTTCGCTAATGTTGTTGTTGCTGCTGCTGTTGCTGTCTCAGGCGGATTATAAACAGTGGCGGCGTGGTTGCTCATATTGCAGCGGGTTGTTCTGCCAAGGTCTCCATATGCAAAGTGATCTGTTGGCTGATGGACGGAAGCCGGGATGGTTCAGATTTGAAAGGTACTTTTTTAAAATTAACTGTCACCCCTGCACTATTAGTACCCCCAACCCCTGCACTGTTAGCACCCCCCCCCCCCCCCCCCACCCCATCACACAGCACCCATATTCACATGGAATAGCATTGTATAATGGGAGAATTGGGCATGGAATAATTGTTTCACTTCAACTTCTCCTCGTTACATGCCCAGCTGTACACAGGGTTGGAAGGGACTTTTTGTTTGCACTTTACATACTCATTCATTAATTCCATCTCTTCCATTTCCATGGCATTCTCTCCAAACTCTCCTTCCCATGACACCAAGGAATGGTGGCTCTGCCTATTCAAACTGTTGTGTCTGTCTCCCTGCTACTGCTGCTGCTGCTGATCTTGACACTGCTACTGCTACTGCTGATCTTGACACTGCTACTGCTACTGCTGATCTTGATACTGCTACTGCTGCTATTGCTGCTGATACTGTTGTTTGCCTGTTTATGCCTCTGCTTCTGTTGCAGTTGCAGTTGCTGGTCGAGTTGCTGAGAGGGTGATGCTGCTGTGATAGAGATCATGACTCATGGTGTTGTCAGTAGCTGTACTATTCCTCTGCTTCATCTCTGGTCCTGGGTAACAGGAATCAGATGTATGCAGATCAGTGAGGTTTCTGATGACGTTCACATACCTGGATGATATTGCTGCAATGCAGAAAGGTACAGCTTGTAGAAAAATATAATCTTATTGTTAACTACATTATCTTGCCCCTCTCTTCTTTCCCTATTTAGATGTGTTCAAACTTATAATCAAAACAGGTTGAATTGGATAATTGTCCTGGGGAAATGACTGCACATCGTTTTTATCTTCACCTGTTGCTACAGTTGTCGTTGCTGTTGATATTGCTGCTGTTTCTGGTCCTCCTGCTGCTGCTGCTGCTGTTGCTCCTGCTGTTGCTGTTGCTGTTGCTCCTACTGCTGCTGCTGCTGCTGCTGTTGCTGCCGTTACTGCTGTGTTTGCTGTTGCTGCTGCTACTGCTATTGCTGTTGCTGCTATTGCTGCTGTTTGTATTGCTACTGTGTCTGCTTTTGCTGTTCCTACCGTTGCTGCTGTAGTCGCTGTGTCTGCTGTTGCTACGGTTGCTGTTGCTGCTGCTTCTTCTGTTGCTACTACTGCTGTTGTTTCCACTGCTGCTGCTGCCGCTGTTGTTGTTATTCCTGCTGTTTGCGTTGCTGCTGTTGCTGCTGTTGTCGTTGCTGCTGCTACTTTTGTGGCTGCTGTTGCTGGTGCTGTTTCTGTTGCTGCTGCTGTTGCTGTTGCTGCTGCTACTGTTGTTGCTGCTGCTTTTCCTGTTGTTGCTTTTGTTGCTACTGTTGTTGCTGCTGCTGTTGCTGCTCTTGCTGATGCTGCTCTTGCTGTTGTTGTTGCTGTTTCTGTTGCTGTTGTCGCTGTTGCTGCTGCTTTTGCTCTTGCTGTTGTTTCTGCTGTTGCTGCTATTGGTCTTGCTGTTGTTGCAGCTATTTGAATTCTATATTCTCACGATGGTACCATCGCCAATAAGCTATTGTTGCAGCTATTGTTGCTGCTGTTGTTGCTACTAGATTTGCTGTTGGTGGTGGTTCAGAGGTGATTTCTCGACACATTGCTGTGTTTGCTGTTATTGCTGTAGGTACTTCTGCCATGGTCTTGCAGGACATCTTCTAGTTGTGGAAATGATTTGTTTGGGTGACTGAACAGAAGACTGGATGGTTCATATTGGAAAGGTACAGTTTTTTTGTAATTTTATTTCCTGACACATCTCTTAGCGCCCCCCCTCTCTCCCCCACTCCCCTCTCTCCCCCTCTCTCCCCCTCTCGCCCCCACTCCCCTCTCTCCCCCATCCCACATCCCCCTCTCTCCCCCATCCCTGGCAGGAGTCAAAGATCCAGTGTTATTGTATTGTAGACTTTGTAGTCAGTATGGTGCACATTGGAATGACTTTATTTCCAATTTTCCCTTCTACTCATCTCATTCTCTCATATGTTTTACTCCGTGTGTTGTCCATGCATCATGACCTAGAGTGTTTAACTATGAACAGGTGCGTAGGAGAGGTTTTGGAAGTGATACGACCAAAGGTCGGCGCGGCCGAAGGCCGTTTTGGAGGGGGGTCCGGGGGGGGGGGAATTTTGTAAAAAAGACACAAAATCCTGCGTTCTGGGAACTTCTGGCACACTTCTGGCACAGTTTATAAGTCATAGAAATATTTCACGGGCAGAAGAGACGTGCATGGACATGCACAGATGCATGGCAGATCTACGAGTACGAGTCGAGAAAAAGGTCAAAGTCTGATGCGCATATGCATCGATGGATCCTGATTTTTTTATTACGGTTTTGCACGTTCCGGACGAACCACACTTTTCGAAAAGTGGTACGGCCATGGTCGTACCAGTCGTAGCGGGTGCTACGCCCCTGATGAATGTTTAGACCACTCCTTCATACAGCACTGTGTGTACACCTAGGTGTTTGTGTGTGTGTGTGTGTGTGTGTGTGTGTTTGTGTGTGTGTGTGTGTTTGTGTGTGTGTGTGTGTGTGTGTGTGTGTGTGTGTGTGTGTGTGTATGTGTGTGTGTGTGTGTGTGTGTGCGTGTGTGTGTGTGTGTTTGTGTGTGTGTGTGTGTGTGTGTGTGTGTGTATGTGTGTGTATGTGTGTATGCGTGTGTGTGTGTGTGTGTGTGTGTGTGTGTGTGTGTGTGTGTGTGTGTGTGTGTGCCTTCAACTGCAACTCTGCTTATCCGCCTGCACAATGCTGTTGCTGTTGCACCTGATGTTGCTGTGGCTGTTATTGCTGTTGATGCTGTTGCTAACTCGGTGACTTCTTTCTCCTGTTGTTGTTGCTGCAGCTGCTGTTTCTGCGGCTGTTATCGCTGCCTTTGTTGTTGTTGCTGCTGTTTCTGCGGCTGTTACTGTGCATGCCATGGCTCATGTTTCTTCAGGTGCTGTTGTTATGGTTACCTGTGTTGTGGATGATGAGGTTGCTGGTGTAGGAGACCTGAACATTACTGGCTACTGTTCATTACTAGAAGGTAAGGTTTTCTGATGGTGTGTGTATGTCTATACAGAACTGCTCTTGTCAACCACTACCAGCACAATATACTGAAGTGTCACGTAGAAAGGCATGACCTGTATAGAAGTGTCATGACTGGAATAGAAGCTGATTTTCCAAAGCTCAGTCATGGCACAGAATCCTGATTTGAATGTAATTACATGTACTAGCTGACTACATGTGTGCCAATGTATGCTGTACACTGTACATTGATGATGTTCACATGTACAACTGCATGTTTTCAATAGAAGCATAACTTGAATAGAAGCACGGTTTCAACCCCGGCTTATACGGCTTATGTAGAGTAGTGCTGAATGAAATCCAGTCACTTCACTCAAGTACACGCCTGCTGTTCTTCACTCATAGACCTGTGAACACTGAGCTGCGGTATGATGCAAGGCGCGAACTAGAGTGACTCTATTGGATTTCATTGAGCAGCACTGTACACACATTAGCAACACTGTACACACATTAGCAACACTATACACACATTAGCAACACTGTACACACATTAGCAACACTGTACACACATTAGCAACACTGTACACACATTTAAGGAAACAATTAAAGGAGTACGGTATTCGTTAGCCTTGAGGTTGCGCACAACGTACAGACTTTTTCGTATTGGGTCGATGCTAGCGCTGCGGGTACGAAGAGAGTGAAGACAGGGAGTAGTATGTACAATGTACTGCATAGGACGGTGGGGGTGAGTGGATAAGTCTCACAACCACTGGTACAAGTGACGAGAAACGCCATTAGCTGCATCAATGTACCCCATGTGCCTGGCCACAAGTTCCCAGTTGACTGTGGGCTGCAGCGCTGCATTTGCCGCTAGGGTTTACCGGGTGTTAGCGGCCGTCATGAGTTCCATTTGGGAACGGACACGATAATTTACTTTTTTACTTACTCCATATGACGAAAAATAGTTTCGTAGATCTGGTCTCTTTCGGTCGCGTTTGAACGAATCTTTTCGGCAACTTTCGGCCAAACGCGTGGTCTGACGGCATGGTCTTACGAATTCTCTTTTGTGCGCAACCCATCTACTGTCAGGTACCAAAGAACAGGGAGTGTAGTAGCTGAGACCGGTGCTGAGACCGGTGCTGAGACCGGTGCTGAGACCGGTGCTGAGACCGGTGCTATCTTTCAAGTACTGCTTTCCATCCATGCACAGTCCAATCATCATGTATACATCGGTATGCCCTTCTTGCCGAGATCCAGAAAATGCAGAAATCAATGTTTGTTCTTTGTAACCTGCCAATGCTGTTATCTATTAAAAACAATCATACAAACTGATGGTGGTAGTCCCTGGTATGTAATCATGATTTCGTGTATCACATCAGCTGGTCGATGATGATGTAATACGATGATGTCATTGTTTTGTTGTCTTCTGTATGATTGTGTTGAATGCAGAATGCAGAGGATTGTCAAGATGTACATTGTACATGTCTATCTGTTCAGACAGTACACAAGGTGAATGAAGATGGAACATATCCATTTCATCAATAATTGTTCTCTTCTCAATTGTTTTTATTTTGGTCTTGAAACTTCTACCTTCCTTGATGGAGAAGTAACGTTGTCCCCCCCCCCTCCCTTATCACCCCTCCCCCTTATCACCCCTCCCCCTTATCACCCCTCCCCCTTATCACCCCTCCCCCTATATCCTTCCCCAACCACACATTATCATTGTGTGTTTTAAATGTTACACACCACTAGGCTAGGCAAGTTTTCGTGGTATTTTCTTGCGGTAATAACTGCTGGTGACTACTTCAATTTCACTAGAGAAATGAAAAGACCATGGTTTACCGGTACTTGATGAGTGTGTTTGTTCATGATCACATTCATACACAAATACTCGTCTGCGTATCCATGTTGCACTATTATAACTACTGGCCTCGTTTTTGCTGCTGTCCATGCAATGGACTACATAAAATTATTATTTTCCACTGCATTCTGCACCCGTTTTCTTCCTACTGTTTCCCATATCTCAGGTGATATGTTATTACCAGTGATGTGTTTGACTACTTCTCTTGCCACATATAGCTGATACTAGTGATAGTAAAACTGGATGCTGTTCTCCAATTCATGAATGTACAGTCAGACCTCGCATAACCGCACACATCCGTTTCCCACAAAAAAATCCGGATAGGCGAGGGAACTGGATAATCGAACAACCATGTACATACTGTATGTATGCATGACATACATGTATGCTGAAAAATCGGTAATCAACAATTTTCGTCCGGATGGCGAGGGATCCGGATAAAAGAGGACCGGATAAACGAGGGCTGACTGTATTATTATGACTGTATAAACTGAGTACGGTACTCGAGTACTTGTGTAGTTCAATATCTCCACACTGTAGACTGGTTTGTGTACTGGCACACTGCATTGTTCAGTGGACAGTGTAGCGTCATGCTGGTCACGTGACCTCTGTGCTGTTAAAGCTGATTCAGACCTCATTTCGCGTACTGGAAAATCATCGCGCCAAGACGTTGAGCTCAAGTCAATGTTTTCGCGATGCTGCGACGCATTTCCCGTACACGAAATGAAGACTTCATGTGAATCAAGCTGACACCGATGTGCGGTGGCCCTATGATGGGCAGTCATGCATAGTAGTAGTAGTAGTAGTAGTAGTAGTAGTAGTAGTAGTGTGTGTGTGTGTGTGTGTGTGTTGGGGGGGGGGGGGGGGGTATGTACCGTATGACTGTACCCAAATAAGAATGTATAAACATGCATGAGAGAATGTAAAATAATTATAATAATTGTTGACATGGTTACTACATGTGTGCTAGTAGTATACAAAAGAAAGATTTAATTTTAATGGGACCATAAAGTGAACAATATTGGACGCGGTGGATCGGGTGCCAGCCAACACCAATTTGTCACGGAGTGTCGTGCTTTAGCTCACTGGCCGCATTAATGAATTATATCTTGTCATTGACTCATATATCGCTGGCGTGTTGTTGGGCAAAAGTGCGTATACCAGTGGAAAGAAGAACGCATCGACGTGCACTGATATCGCATAGATATACTTCTTTTTGAAGTACTTTTTGAACACCGGTATTTTCTTATACGGGAAATCACAGACCATGATATCACTGGCCTGACACAACAACTAAAGAAAAAGAAAACAAAACAAACAATTTAAACAATCGACGAGGAGACAATAGTCGTAAAATGGCAATAAATAAGATAAATTGTGCACTCATAACAACAGCAAAAATGAAGAAAGTCAGTTCCATAACGTAAAAATGTAATAACTAAAACACACACTTATATACATGTAGCTAATATGGTTTCAGGTAGAAATACAGCAGCTAACAAGTACAAACTTTGCTTTTTGTACTTGTTAGCTGCTGTATTTCTACCTTGATTGATTGATTGATTGATTTTTATTTCACGGATCCTCCAGAGGCAAATAGATGCCTATCGAAGGGAGTCTCCTAAGTAAGTATGGAAAATGAGAAAGTATGTTCGTAAGGGAGAAGAGGTAGAAGATACATTAGAATATAGAGTACAGAAGAAGTAAATTCAGTACTTCGGGTAGTACATTGCATGCTAATCATAATGAGAATTAGAAAAGCAGCATTGCGGACTACTATAACTGACATATACACAAACTATTGAAACTATCATAGATGTGGTTAGCCTAGACACAAAAGTCAGGAATACCTTTCAAAGAAAACATAGATTGCGAATGATACCGACGAACAGCAATACTAAATTTAGCTGTTGTAGAGAGTGAACGAATATCTTCAGGAAGTTTATTCCAGGCAACACTCAAAGAAAAAAAGGGTTGATTTACGAAAGAAGGTGCCAGCTTTAGGAAGAATTATGGATGAAGGGTGACGACTGCTTTGGGAAGAGGGTAGCTGGAAGTGAGACAACAAGGAGGGGTATTGGGAGAATACGTCATGGTGGAAATAGACAAGGCCAAGAATCTGCCGTCGCCATGCTAAAGATTCCCAAGAGGACAGAACATTGAGGTCTTCTTTGGAAGTCGTCCAGTCAGGCCGACGCTTGAGTTTACTATTTAGGTATGCTCTAGCAGCAGTAGCCTGCAGTTTATCAAGGGTTGTGGACATGGTGGCTGAAACGGAAAACATCCAAACGGGAACAGCATATTCAAGGAGGGGACGAACATAACATTTATACAAAAGATTCACAGCAGGAAAAGGAAGGAAGTTGGACATGTGGTTTAAAAGAAAAACCCGACATCGAAATTTGCTGGTAATGTGTTGAATATGGGGGGACAGATTGAGTGAAGGAGTGAGGATGATGCCCAGATGGCGGTGGGAAGAGGGCTGGGTCAGTAACGTACCGGCCATGGTGACGGTCCTGGGATCAGGTGGGTTTGATTTAGGTCTGCAAAAGGGAACATGGACACATTTGTTAGTATTGAAAACTGCTTCAGCTTTATGGGACCAGTTCACACATCTATCAAGGTCTAGTTGCAGGGAGGCAGTGTGCGCGGCGGGTACGACAGTAGGCGGAGAAACGCAGACCATGTTGGAATCATCCGCAAACAGAGTCAGATCGCTGGATTTGGGAATGCTGGGAAGGGAGTTGATAGAAAGGTTGAATAATAGAGGGCCTAGGTGGGAGCCTTGTGGCACACCAGCGGTGAGCGACATATGGGTTGATAAGGAGGTTCCGACCCGCACAGACATCGATCGGCCTTCCAGGAAGTCCATCAGCCACGCGAATGAGTCAGGTGCACACCAACCGGACAGACATGAGGCTAGGAGGCGATGGCTGGTACGATCAAATGCCTTCGAGAAATCGAGAAAGACGGCATCACACTGGGCCCGGTTAACAAATGCAGAGCTGACAGTTGATGTGATATGCACAAGTTGGTCAAGGGTCAACCGTGCTTCGGTGGTGGCGAAACCCGAACTGTTTCGGCGACAGTAGTTTGTGTTTCGCTACAAACGTGTACACCTGGCGGCTGATTAACGCTTCGTAGCATTTTGCCACACCATTCAGCAGAGATATCGGCCGGTAGTTAGCAGGGTCATTGCGACTTCCCTTACCCTTGTAAATTGGGGTAACGATTGCAACTTTCCACTCAAGGGGTTGAGATCGGTAAGTGGTGCAGCGGTTAAAGAGAGCAGTGAGGGATTGGGCGAGCACTTCTGCTGTCTCTCGTAGGATCCTGTTAGGAAGACTGCCAGCTGTAGACTTTCGCACACTTAGGGTCGACAGTGCCTTGAATACTTCTACGATAGACAGAGGGCGGATGGCAAATGTTTCCGAAGAAGAAGGCATGGCGAGATCACGATGATCTGCATCCGACGACGGTGTAGCTTGACTATTCTTGGCGAACTGTTGACAGAAGATGTTCGCTTTCTCAGGGTCGGTAACCGCTAAGGTATCGACTCCTTGTATATCAGGTATAGCGGTGTGAGGACAATTGATGTGGCACATATTCTTGACTCTCTTCCACCAGTCATAAGATCCTCGATCTGCATGAAGGCCTTCTGACATCTGGTCGTAGAAGTGACGTTTAGCTTTACGGATGGCAGCGACGAGGCAGTTCCTTGAAATGCGATAAGCAGCCCAGCACTCAGGGGTATTGACACGTTTTGCTGCAGCAAATAGTCGATCTCGACGTTGACGGAGGCGATGGTGCACAGAGGTGAACCAAGGCTTTCCATAACGATTTGTTCGTTTTCGAACCTTCGGAACAAAAGATAATATGGCTGTGTCAACTAGTGTTCGCCAGGAGACCCATGCTTCATCTGTACTACTGGCTTCTTGTACAGCAGCGAGAAGAGGGAGGCTCCAAAGGTGGTTATTAAGTTCGGGCCAGTCTGTGGCTGCATAGTTGTTCACGAGCAAATCAGAGTGCACTGGTTGCTGGGAACGAGTCTGTATTGCGAGATCAAATACCACAGGACAGTGATCAGAAACAGGGGGAAGTGTGATGAGGTTGTGGATGAGGAATGGTTGGTTACAGAGAACAAGGTCCAGGAGAGAAGAGCTCTGACCTGCGGCGGAGAAACGTGTTGAGCGGTCGCGTACAAGTTGTGTAAAACCAGTATCATCCAGCAGTTCGACAAGGCATCTTCCAGCAGCAGTGTTCGGGTCCTGCCTATACCATTCGTTGTGCCGAGCATTAAAGTCACCGAGGATGATAATGGAAGCCGTAGTGTCCGTAATGGAAGAGATGGACTCACGCAAGCCAGAGAGGAAAGTTGAATGATCCTGCCTTGGTGGCCGATAACAGCAGAAAATATAGACATCTTTGTGGCCATTTTTAAGTTGAATGCATAGGATTTCAAGGTTGGTGTTGGCAGGCTCGAGGTCTGCTCGTCTGACGTAGGCGAGTCCTGGTCGGAGTAAGAAAGCAACACCACCGCCACGCAGAGCAACATGAGATGGGCGGTCTCTTCGCACTATGTCAAAAGCGGCAGTTGGCAATAATACAGAGTTAGGAATTTTCTGAGTTAGCCAGGTTTCGGTGATGCCTAATATGTCCATGTCTGAAGTACCAAATATGTTATTAATTTCATCGGCCTTTGGATACCAGCTGCAAGCATTGGTTGTGGCTAGCCGCATATGATGGGGATGTTTGTTTGGTATTAAGGCTGAGGTATCGTATGGTGATTGGAGAGTGAAGGTAGGTGCATCTGGGTTCAGTTGCCCTGACACACTGTTAGATGATGGTGTCGATGTGGTCCTAGTGGGAAAAAAGATGGGTGCGTGTGGATTCAACATCACAGTTTATGATTTCTTGGGGAGGGGTGGGTTCTTGAACTTCCATTCTCGTGCTGTTACATGCTCGGGCCAGAAATCGTTTTCCAGAACATTTCTTTCGTCATGCTCGGCAACTGTCAGATGTGCGTACAACGTGCCATACACTGTTCTGGAGGGGATCAGTTTACAGCCAGTAACTTCCACATTCTTCTTTCTACAGTACGCAACAAGATCATCAGCACTGCAGTTGATATTGATGCCCCCAACAGTAGTAAGTAACGAGCGGGTTCTGGGACAGGGGGCGCCCGGGTCCCAAAAAATGGGGTATTATTGAAAAATGGGGTACTAATAGTACCCCATTTTTGCGGTGAAAATTATTT